GATCCACTGGCTTCACCGCTTCCTACGCGCGTACGCTAAAAGCTAATCGATACTTCCGTCTCATCTGATTGGCGGCAACCGACAGAGCACTCATTCCGCAGCCAAAGCTTCACTCACCCACACAGGTTCACTTGGCGTTCAGTCTTACCTGGCAGCTGGCCCATTACACTCCATTTATACCGTCTATTTTCCGGCAGAAAATCTCTCTCTATCAGCATCGTCTTGCCTGACCTTTGATTTGGGGAATACTTCTGTTGCCGTCACTATTACCTGCGACAACCCAATTTACAACCAACGCGGACGCTCCCGAAAGAAAGTGTAACATACGTATTCTGCTTGACGGGGAATGTTAACTATCATCACAGCATATCATTCGCAACAATTTATCATCCGAAAAAATGGTGTGAAAACCTCGGAAGACCGACATCAGATTTCAGCAATATCAAACAAACAAAGGAAGGCTTTGAAGATGCCTACATTAGACAAAACCATCGTCGTCGTCCCTGTGCACAAAGGAGAGTCAACCGTTATTTTAAACAAACCAAACTACAATAAAAAGACGCTATCGTTTTAAGAAAATGCTTCAACCCACAAACCTCTTGCGACAGATCCTACCAATACCCAAAATTAATCGATTGACAAAGTGTTCAGGTGTCGTAGTGGATTGAAATAAGTTTCCGGAGGTCTTACTAAATCCTCGGAACAAACTGAATGGACTATCGCCAATATGCATGTACTACCTAAAGTACATAAACCCGAAGTTTCTCCGCGGCCAATAACAAATTTTCTAAATGTTTATTCCATCACCTCCGTCCACTCACAAGGAACGGTGAAACTTCAATTGAGAACTTCATAGAATTCCCAAATAAATTACTAGGAATGACCACTTCAGCTGATGAAATAATAGTTCCCTTTGACGTCGTCTCCTTGTTCGCATCCATATCACTAGATGTAGCAGGGCAGTGCACAAAGGAACTCCTACAGTCCTACACTATGGATGTCGGCCGGCAGCGACCACTACAGATGTTCTGGTAACTACCTTTCTTGAACTTATGGACTTTCGCTTACGGACCAAATCTTTATTTGTCAACAAATACTATCAGCAGCTGAAAGGAGCTCCTATGGGGTCGCCTACACCGGACATTCCTACTGAGATGACGATACAGAAACTCGAGGCTATCGCTCTTCCGCTAGTCAATCCTAGGTTTTTGCTATGATATATTGATTATAAGTTCGTTATCGTAAGAAAGGATGAAGTGGAAACCCTACACAATGTACTCAACGCCATGCTTCCTGGGATTAAATTCATGCTCGAAAAGGACGCGGACGCCATATTCCCGTTCCTCGGCGTCCTTTTACAACGACAACTCGATAAAACATTGCGCATTATACTGTTTATTTCAAGAAAACCTATGCGGAAGTCATCCTAAACTATAAGAGCAATACACCTATCTCGCATATAAGAAGTACTGTTGACAGTCTGTTTCCTCGAGCAAAAATGCATTGTTCGGGAAGAGAAGACTGTCGTATCTAGCTGAATTACTTGTTAGTATTATTTTCTCAAAAGGCTTGTCCTCCAGATTTCCAAAGTCGATGTGTGAAATAACAGGAGTCAAATAAAAAGGACTCAGACAGTAGCAATTAGACGCCCAAGACATTGCTCGAGTAGAGAAGGTTGCCATATCTAAGTGAATTACTTGTTAGAATTATTTTCTCAAAAGGCTTATCCTCGAGATTTTAAACATCGATGTGTGAGATAACAGGAGTCAAATAAAAAGGACCCAGGCAGTAGCAATCAGACGTAGTCTTCTGTACATCAAAAACTGGTCCGAAATCATTGACAGAACCTAAGCAAGCACCAAATTTGGGCGGCTCATATACCAATGACGATTGTATGCACCCCACTAGTAGACTGTAGCAGAGACTTCGAACCCAAGATCAGCCGCTGAAGCCTGCGCGCCCACTGCCTCCTGGAGCTAGGCGCGGACTGTCGCTGCCACGACGCATGCATACGTCTCACCATGG